GTAATAGAGAAATAATTACTTTTCTTTGTTTTTAGAGAGTGAGATCAGAGCCAGGCTTCAAAGTGCTTCACCTCCAGCCAGATGTGAGTCCTTCACTGATTTGTCTTCTCACCTCTAAACATCCAACCTGAAGCTCTTCACCTTTTTGGTCCTTTCGATCAGATTTAAAACCCAGTCATGACACAGTTCCTGGTGTTTTGTTTCTCTCAGGGACGGAGCTGGATGATGTGAAGCGCCTGCTGAGGGGAAACCGCTCCACCAGCACCAGCCCCACCCAGTCCCCCAACAACACACTGCCCATCCCCAAGAAGGCCAGCATGGAAGCCAAGGCCACATCTGAGGGCTCCTCAGGTCCCATCGGTCAGCTGCAGAGGAACATTCATCTGTGCCGAGCTTCAGAAAAGCGTTTCATCCGTTCACTGTGTTTTTGTGTTCTGTTGTAGATCAGTACGGCAGCGTTTGGTCAGGAGACGTGAGCAGTGGATATTACAGCACCAACCCCAACAACTACACCGCTACCTCCCACCTTTACCCATCAGGTCAGTCACAGAAACTCACAGATATGTTCATTTTAACTGTGTATTAAAGAAACCAAACAGGATGCAAAATGTTTTCCCATTTAAAACACACATTATAAACCCTCCAGACCTTCAGAGTTTATTCCTTAGTTCCTACTTAGGAATAAATTCTTGGAAGTTAAAGGTTTTTCCCCAAATGTGGAAAAACCTTTAACAGGAACTTTACAGGAACTTCTGAGTGTTTTCTGAACTTTCTAGAACTTATAAGGTGTTTTTATGAAATTTTCAGGATAATTGCATGTGACGTTCCATATCCTTCTGTGGCACTTTGTGAGAATTTTCCAATTATTTTCCTGATTTTTACAGGAGGATTTGTTTGTGTTTTGATGGTAGTTTTACATTATGTGGATACCAAACCTTAAAATTTACATGTAACTGTATTTTTCTATTGTTCTATTTTTGTCTTCTTTGCTTTTGTTTTAAATTTATTTTGTTTGCATATAACTTTGTTTATCCTTTTATTACACTACGTTCAATGAAGTCAAATCAAATCAAACAGACTACTTACAATTTTCTTTTTAACAAATAAAACCTTTCCTGGAACTTACACAAAAATTATATAAATTGGTGGAATCGCCCTTTTAGTGACATGTGAGTCCCAGGAAAACACTTTCTAAGTTCCAGGAATGGCACCGTTTGTACCAGAAAGCTACCTTGAAAGTTTCCAGGAAGTACCCTGTAACTCCAGTACATATAAAAGATATGATCACTAAGAGATGCAAGATAAGATTTCTTTTGTTATAGTGACTAAAAATGATAAAGAAAATTGTAAACGTGATCAAATATGATCCAGATAATCTTTCCTAACAATCAAAAGTTTTCTTGCAAGATTTTGACAATGGTCATTTAGCAAAACTCGACAATTTTGCATCTTACAAAACAGGAGTCAGTGAGTTTGCTTTTTAACAAATAAAACTTTCAATGTTCATAAAGAAAACCAAACAAATTTAAAAGTTATAGCAAACTCATGAAAATTTGTTTTCTGTCAGAAATTTACTCATTCATACAAAACAACTGATGACATTTAAATAACATGATTCACAGTGATATTACAGAAATGCTTCCATCTGAGCTGCTGATCAAAAATAATAATTTTAGCAGCTGGTGGTTTAACTTAGAAATATTTGAAGGTTTGATTGTCCAGGCTGCCACCTGTGACAGATGGACAAACCGGTCTGTTGTGTTCTGCCAGGTGCCGGAGTCCAGAACAACCTGACTCTCGGCTCTCCCTCTGTGAACGCTGGACAAGCTGTCAGCGGCTCCGGTTAGCCTCGGCCACTCCTTTGTAAAAGGTTTTCTACTGTCATTACCTTCACATTTTCACTGCATGTTGGGTTCTCTGTTGCAGTGCCAGCATACGGTGTGCAGAATAACCTGACCAGTCCAACGGTCCTCTCACCCGCTGGTGCCGGCTCACAGATAGGTAAACCACTGATCCCAGCATTTTCACATTTCATGATGATCTGCTCAACTATAAAACTCTGCTCATACTGTAATGTTATGTAACATGTTTTGGTCTGGTTGCAGTTTATGGCGTCCAGAAAAATGTGTCTGGACTAACTGCACCCACAGGTGAGGAGGCAGAAAATGTTCCCAGACTTTATCATTCTTTTTAGAAATTTGAAATTTCTGTCATCACTTGACCATTGACTACTACCAAAATGCAAGGTTATAAATGAAGTTGCCTTGTGTCTCATAGTGAGACCCAGCAGTCCCACCAGTTATGAGGCCTCAGGGAAAGACTTCAACTTTGTGCTGATAGAGAAGGAGAACGCTCCCATCAAGAAGGAGACGGAGCGGCTGGTCATGGCCAAAGACACCGGGAAGCAGTTTGTGTCCACTGCGCCTGCCACTTACTCAGGTTTTAACTACACTATACCTCTGACAGAAACAATCAAATTCAAATTCTGCAAATGCTTATTTAGATTTATTTACACATTTGTCTGAAGGAGTCTAATTACAGATGTGATCATTGGGAACATCTGGTCTTGTAGGCACTTACTCTGAGGACTCGCTGAAGAGGGAGAAACAGAAACTTTTGTCCAGCGCAGTGGATGAAGGAACTGATGCCAAATGTAAAACTTTTGAGTGTTAGAGTTGTCATCCTTAATTGTTTTGTGAAGTCATAAATTGATGTTTGTTTTAAATATTATTACTGTAGCTTCAACCTTGAAATCTACCACAAAAGACAAAGCAACCTATGCAGGTACCATTTATTGAGTTATTATGAAAACATGGACATTATGCTGTTCTGATGTACTGGTTAGCATCAGCAGCTAGCTGCTAAACTCACACCTGGCTGTTTGTTTCTCAGAGATCCGTAAAGACGAGTTGGGTTTTGGGTTCTGCTCCTGCTGCAGCTGGTGGAAGTGGCTGCTGGCCCTCGTCTGCACCCTGCTGCTCCTCCTGGGGCTCCTCTTCGGACTCATCACTTTGGGTAAGAGACAAAAATCCAGAGGAAAATAAAAGATTCTTTTTTGAAAAGTGAGCTGATCACCCAGGACCCAGTCCCAGACCTGACTGTGTCAGTACCTTGCAGAACCTCATGGTGATTTACCAAGAGGCAGTTCCTTTGGTGAAGGCCTGATCACCTGGTCTTCTGTCATAACGCCTGGATAAAGGATCGGGTTGGTTATTCAAAGTTTGAGCTGGGGATCCTGAAATCATATTGAGTCAAACTTAATCAGTCTCATTCTGACTGGAGAAAAAAAATCTACAGACATTTAAGTGAGAGTTCAGCTAACTAGGAGCAAGATTCCCTGGAGAGATTATTGGATCTTTTGTTAACCTTTTGGGCCTATGAACCATCTTGGATAAGAGATAGAAGAATTGATGAATGACAATATATTTTTGTCTTACCTTCAGCAGGCAGCAGTCATAGGAATCTATTTGATAAAGCAATTATCTGGAAAACAAATAAATTCTATCTATAAGCACCAGCTCATCTTCTTTGGTGCAATTTCTAAATGTTTGTTCCCAGGCGAGGAGGTGAGACGCCTGAAGAACCGTGTTGATGCTCTGGAAGCCGCCCCTGGCAGTGCATCAACCAGCCGCCTGTGGTCTTCCTCCGGCATCAATATCATCGACCCGCCTGACTCAGCATACATTGAAAGAACCTCTTCTGGTTCCACCCTCACCCGCTCCGATAATTCAATCAACCTCGGGCCTGGAGGAGGCACAGGAACCGGACCAGGACAGGACAACACCGCCCTGCAGAGGACCGTTCAGCAGCTGCTCAGGACCGAACTACAATCAAATGCTATGAGAGGTGTGGAAACAAAGCCCCAGGATTTAACACACACACACACACACACACACACACACACACACACACACACACACACACACACACACAAGCGCATGCACACAAAACCAAGCATTTCTGAGTTAAAGGGCTTTTTTTGTTTTGCAGAAACTCTTGCTTATTCTCTAAAAGGAGAGAAGGGAGATCCAGGACCTAAAGGTACTCACTAACCTCACAGTAATTTAAGATTGATTCATATATTCATACTTATGACTACCTCTGTACAGGTGATCCAGGGGCACTTGGACAAAAAGGTGAGGAAATACTAAATGTTTAGTAGTTCATAGGAACATAGGGGTAAAAATCTGTCTGCTTTTCAGGTGATAGTGGTTTTCCTGGACTGCCAGGTAAGACTCTGGGCAAACTAATCCATGTTTTATTCTTCCAAAGCGGTAAAAAACTTGGCTTAGCTAATCAGTTCTTTTTGTTCCTTAAGGTCCTCCTGGACAGATTGGACACTCAGGACTGGATGGACCAAGGGGACCAAAGGGAAATCCAGGTAATGGAAACTTGACTTATGTTCCTGTTATGAAGTTCAAGGAAAGAGTTGAGAATCTCCTTGTTTCTGTCCAGGTGAACCAGGTCCAGAAGGACAACCAGGCCAGAGGGGACGGGAGGGACCAATGGGCCCCCGGGGGGAGTCTGGACCGCCTGGTGTTGGAGAGAAAGGAGATAAAGGTTGAAACAGATCACATTTATTTAAAACAAGTTGAGGACGTGCTGGAAGGCCAGGAAGTGCTGATTTGATTATAACTCTGCAGGTTCTCAGGGTGAACCAGGACATCCTGGTCCTGCTGGAGGTCCTGGACCCATGGGTCCAAAAGGTGAGGACAGGATTCATATTGGATATTAAATCAGTAGAAATAAAAGTTCTTCACCTCCTGATTACTCTGTTTGTTTAAGGTGCTGCTGGAGAGCAGGGTGTCTCTGGAGTCCCAGGTATAAAGTTAGTTTCAGTTCATTTCTTTATGTTAAAGTTGATTAGACAATAATTAATGTTATATTACTGTAAACAGGTGTACCTGGTCCAAAGGGATTCCAAGGCGAAGCTGGACCGTCTGGAGCCAAAGGTACAGAAACTTTATTTCAGCTCACACTCTCATTGGGTTTTTCTCAAACTGGTGAAAACTCTGGACCCTCGACTGGTTGGTCCAGGAATCAGCAGTGTCTTACTGGAGGCATGGACTCTGCTGAAGTCTTAAACAGTTGGATCTGGTTTTACTCGATAGGTAACATTTAGCTGTGGCGTATATAATGCGCCAACTCGACCATGAAGGGAGCTACGTAGTGAAGTTAACTGGAAATTGTGTTGGCTGTAAACAACCATCCACACTGCAGAGAGAGAAGCGACAAGCCGAATATTAAACAATCTATCTGCTGATTGGCCCGGTTGAAGTTCAACTGGAGAAATCAAGCTTATTGTGACAAATCCTAGATGTATGCAGATGAGAATCGAGTGGAACTGCGTAAGAAGGCAATGGCCAGGCTGTTATTCTAGTAGCTCATGTGGAACAGGCGTTGAATAGCCAGTGATGGGCACCACTAACTCAATAGTTAAATCACCAAGTATGAAGGTTAGTTCTGCTAATATTCATAATTTTAGTGGAAGCTAATGCTAAAGCACCACTAGCTTCAGTCATGTTGATACCCACCATGAGTCAATGCCAAAATATGCTACAACATAGTATATCACCCTCAGCTATCTGGTTTGGCATTGTTATTAAACAGGAATATTCTAGATGAAGTAGCCAATGTAAAGTTATAATTACTTCTGTTCTCCATCTGCTACGTGTAATGCAGGTGACCGTGGAGCACCAGGTGTTCCGGGAATTAAAGGGGACAATGGAGAAAGAGGACCTCGTGGACCAGTGGGTACGTACCACCAGAGCTAGTTTATGTCTTTAGCTACTATTAAAGTACAACAGCTCAGTTTTCCTTGTTTTGTCAAGTAAAAATGTATAAGAGACTTCTACATGGCATGCAGTTTTTTGAAAATCAGCATTTGACAAAGTGTCAAAAGAGGAATTGTGTAACTGTATGAGGAGGTCAAGGATGCAAGAGAATTATGTGTTGGTAGTGAGAAATGGACAAGAGTAGTGGTGAGGTTTGAGGAAGGGTATGCCATGGAGGGAAACAGGTTGAACAGTTCAGGTACCAAAGGAGAAGAGATGTGCTTAGCCATCCAATACAACAGACAGAGCATGAGAGAGGTGAAGGACAGCATGCAGACTGGAGAGGAGAGGAGAATAAGAGTGACAATGTAATTTAAAATGTTAGCTACCAATCTGCCTCAAAGAAAAGCTTCAGTAGATTATATTGAAAGAGTTTTCTTAAAGGTGAACCAGGAACTCCTGGACCTCAAGGCCCATCGGGACCAAAGGGATCTAAAGGAAGTGGCGGTGAGTGGAAAGATGGAAGATCTTACTGCAGAGCCCTGCAGAACATCTGATCCACAACGTAGCATTGACATCTGTGCTTTAACTGCAGGTGAATCGGGTTCAATAGGACTTCCTGGTGCTAGAGGTTTACCGGGTCTCCCTGGTGACGTTGGTCCCCAAGGTACTAAATTCTCCAGAGCTTTTACTCTACATACAGCTAGAAATATTTTCTTTGATTCTGTCTCAAAAATGTTTAAGGATGTTTTAAACTCACCAAACTATGATAAAAATAAAAGATCCTTCCAAATAAACTGTTTGTTCTCCAGGTCCTCCTGGAATCCAAGGACCCCCAGGTACACAGCGTACACTTTTACTCCTGTAACCCAAATTGGTTTGGTTTTCTACGTTTTAAAGTACTTTTCTGGTGCCTGATGCAGGCGTTGCAGGAATTCCAGGCCAGCCCGGTGGTAAAGGTACAGCTTTCTTGTTTTTCCTTTGTGATAAGATTCACACTGTAAAGGAGACCGCCTGGAAGGCTTGAAATGATCGTTCTCTTCTTCAGGTGAACCAGGATCTCCTGGTAAAGTCATCAGCCCGGGTGAGAACAGCCTCATGTCTTCTCCCAGCATCGACCAGGAAACCCCAGTGACTCCTGTATTCAGTCTGGTTTCTTTCTGTTTCCTTCATATCCAGTAAACTCTGACACTGTGGCCATTCCTGGACCTCCAGGACCAGCTGGACCTCCAGGTTCTGCTGGGTCCCCAGGTTTGTCTGGTCCCATTGGTCCTGCTGGAGTCCCAGGCCAACCAGGTAAACCAGGTCCCGTCAATTTAAACATGTTGGATGTCTGAAAAAAGAGCCTTGAACGAGGCACATTTTATAATTATTTAGGTACAAAGGGAGAACGAGGGGATAAGGGAGACAAGGGGGACCAAGGTCAACGTGGAGAGCCAGGTAAAAGCATTCGAATCACTCTGTCAGACACTAAGAAATGTTTTTGATATGCACTTTTTAATTCACAACAAACTTGTTTCAGGCACCGGCCTTCCTGGACCCCCAGGGCTCCCAGGGTCCCGAGGTGAACCTGGACCTCAGGGGCCTCCTGGTATGTTTACAGCAGAGGTGTCAGCGTCCTGCGTCTTTAGATTCAACATCACCTGAATAAAATGGCTGATTAGTTCCTCATGAATTAACCATTCATTTGTGCTGAGTCAGAAAAACATGCAGGCCCCCGGCTCTTGAGCCAATCTCTTGATTTGAAAGAATTCAGAGCAAACGAATGACGTTGTCTCTGTTGTCTAGGTGAGGGTAAGCAGGGGCCCCCAGGCCGCAGAGGCCCTCCTGGAGATCCAGGTAAACACAAATCCAGTTTTATCAACATTTGATAGAAGAATGTATCATCAGCATAGAGAGTGATCTGTGTCTGATCACATGTTGATTTTCTGATCCGTTTCCACTCAGGTGTTGGAAATCCTGGACCTCGGGGAGAGAAAGGAGAGCCTGGCAGCTTCTTGCCAACATCTGGTTAGCAAAATAAATCATACTGTCCTTAAACTTAACCATATATTTTGTTTTTGTGTAATTATTGATGGAATTTTCCTCATTTCTCCTCAGAAACCTTCTTTGCGGGACCACCAGGACCTCCAGGTCCACCTGGTAGGGCTTCGTAAAATTTAAGAAACCATGTCTTCTCCTGTAGTTCTATCATCTCACAGACTGACCTGTTTTTAGGTAAAGAAGGAGCACAAGGATTCCAAGGTCAGAAAATATGCAAGTATTTTGGGAAAGCCTGTATTTTGTAGTGTGTGACTAAATGTAATGATTTGGTTTCAGGTGAACCAGGTCAGCCGGGGCTTCCAGGGAGTCCAGGGGAGCCAGGTGCTGTTAAGTGGCCAAACTGTTGATGATTGTCTGAGTAATGATCCTTCAGTGTTTGATTTTAAATAAGTGATTTCTGTCTCAGGGTTCCCAGGACCTCCAGGACCTCCAGGTAACTCAAACACTGGGTGTGATCTTCTTCAGACCATGATGCATATTATTTTGAACCGTTTCAGAGTTTGAGTTTCTGAGGAATTATGATGAATATTTCCACTTTCCTTGTGTGTCTTGCAGGTGGCCCAGTAAGGGCAGGAGGGGAACCTGGTAAAAATATATTTTATATTAAATATATTAACATCTACAAAGTGCAATGCTCTGGAGGTTATCAGGTCAACAGATTGTATGAAGGATGCTGCAAGATATTCTGTAACAAAACAAGACCTAGTCATATTACATGTGATCCAGAGATCATGCTAACCAGGATATTTTGATATCTGAAGATGAAGTTTAGATAGTTGACCTTAAAGGCATCCAGGTTGTGTGTACATATCAAGGCAAACACACACACACCAGGTTCCCTGCTCTCAGTGAGTTACAGTGAGTTTGAAAATCTAAGCAGGACCAGCCAAATTATCACTCCACCACCACCGTGCTTTACAGTCAGCCTGAAGTGTGCAGATATTCTGTTTGTCTTCCTCCTCCGTGGCGCTGCGCATCGTGGCCCAACATCTCTACTTTGGTTTCATCTTTCTGAAGGACATGAATCCAGAAGCGTTGGGTTTGATTCAGGTGCAGCTCTGTAAACCCAGGTCACATCCTTCCAAACAAGCTTGTCTGTTTCTAGTCATGCTTAGAGATTCATTTCTCTAAGCATTGCAGTCTGACCTCCAGAGTTCAGAGATCTTTGTGTCGTTTCCTTCAGTGGTTCTTGTTGCAGCGCCTCCGCAGGCGAGGGGGGGAACATGTTGCTCAAAAGGTTTGGTTGGTTGACTCAGCAGTGGGAAAGAAAACCACAGCAGCTGAAAATGGAACAAATTGAACTGAATCTACCAAATTTATCAAATGTGAAAACTCTGAGTTTTCAGGTGCTGACATCTAGTGGTGAATACAGAAACTGCATGTGAAACTTTGTGTTCAGTCAGTGTGTTATTGCTGTTTGGTTTAATACATTCTCATCTCCTAATGAATTCTTGTTATTTTTCCAGGAAGCTCATTCATTCCTGGACCACCTGGACCACCGGGACCACCAGGACCACCTGGGAGTGAATCACCTGCTGTTGGCCAGTACATTGCTGACTACCTCCAGAGTAAGACTTTCAGTTATTTTTTTTATTCTTGTAACATGAACAAAGAGCTTAGGGAGGCTTTCTGCTGTGATCTGCAGGTGACAGCATCAGACAGTACTTGGCTGGACCTCCTGGACCTCCCGGACCTCCTGGAGAACCAGGTTCTCCTGGTGTTTCAGAAGACGCCCTGGTGGATAACGTAGCCAGTCGAGTAATCTCCTACATCCAGAGTAAGATCACAATGTTGGACATTTCCCACACCAATCTGAAGGACGCAGCTCTTTTTCTGACTGTTCTGATGTTTGTTCTGATCATGCAGGTTCTGGCCCGGGGGCGCCTGGTCCTCCTGGCCCACCTGGATCCGTCTCTGTCAATGACATCATCAGTCTACTGCAGCGTAAGTGGCATCAAATCACAGTGATGAATCTTGAGAAGTAACAAGATGCAGTAGGGTTAGAGTAGAGGTAAGGTTAGGAGAATAGTAAACGGGTAAAAGTTGGAGTCTCTTGCATTTAAGACAACTGCATCAAAGGATCCATATTCCATATGTCTGAACACCAACATGGAGAAATGAGGAAAAGTTAAACAGATGTAACTATTCATTATAAAACATAACCTCATGTTTCAAAGCTAATATGTTCCTATTGTTATGACGGTGGACATCTTGTTTCCAGGAGACGAAGTGAGGATATACCTTATGGGTCCACCTGGCCCACCAGGACCTCCTGGAGGTCCAGGTATCGGCGGCTTCTCGATTAACCCCCAGGAGGTGGCTGAACGTGTCTACGGCCTCTTGAATCGTGAGTGCTAAGTTCATGCTTTATGTTCAGTGCAGGACAGAAGTTTTGTTCTGTCTGATTGTCGGGTTGTGTCTGTCACCAGAGAGAGGGGCGCTGGGTGCACCTGGAGCTCCAGGACCTCCTGGGCCTCCAGGGCCTCCTGGAAACCTGCTGGCAAGTAAGAGCTTTAATCATCCAGGAGCGCAGACTCTAATATCCAAACTATTTGATATCACTGCATTGGCATTCTCATTCTGATTTGACCTCTGTTGTTCCAGCTGGGTTTCAGTCTCTCATCGGCCCTCCAGGACCCCCTGGTGCACAGGGTGTTCCTGGACCACAGGGTCCCCCTGGCCCCCCTGGACCACCAGGATTTGGGAGCTACGTCAACTCGGACATCCGTGACTACCTGCAGAGTGAGTTCAGACAGGAGATGTATCTGATGAACTGCGCCTGGAGAAGCGCTCAGTGTCTGTTCTGTACGACTTTATCATTCTGTCTGTGGAGGTTTTGTTTGGACCTTTCTTCTTTACTGCTGAACTCCAAATCTGCTTTCTTTCACATAAATTGTATAAATGAATGTTATCTTTATGTTTTTGTGTAAATGTTGATATTTTAGCATAAATTTGTTAAATTTGGCCTAAAGTCTTCAATGTGTGTTGGCTCCACCCACTTTGTGAAATTTTTATATTTGTCTGGGGACAGACTCATGCTTTTATAGGGAGGACAGTTCCACCTTAAGTTTATTGAAGTTTTGGCCATATTCCCATTCCCCACTAATTATGGAAGACAATACTAACCGTGTGCCGTCCTGTCTGCTGCCCCCTACAGGCGTTTCCCTCAGAGGCCCTCCAGGCCCTCCGGGGCCCCCTGGACCAGAGGGCCCTCCTGGTCCAATCGGACGAATGGTTTCCTTTACAGACCATCACAACAGAGACATGCTGAAGCCTGAAAGACAAGATTATGTCCGGCCTGAGTTTGATGGTAAGGACACGCTAACACAGAGTTCTGGACCAGAACCGGGTCATGTAGCACAAACCTGTTGGTGGGACAGGAATGAAGTCTCTCTTTTTTCAGGTGGTGATGGTTTGAGTCGACCCATGTTTGGACCCCCTGGTCTACCGGGGCCCCCTGGACCTCCAGGACACAAGGGAGAGCCAGGTTTGGGCAGTAGCACCGAGTGGGGCCCAAACTCTATTAACTTATCCATCATGGCTGAAAGATTGACTGATTACATCAAAGGTACAGAGAAAATTAACGGAAATTTCTCTAACTTTGAATTTCTGCATCTTCACATCTTGTGGAAAACTTTTGTAATTGGACATGATTAGTGAAAAAGATTTAAGGTCAAAGAAAGCGGATAGAAAAACTCAGTTTTTAAGTAAACATACAGTAACTACAGTTTAACCAGAGGTTAATGCTCAGCAGCATCATTTATATTTTTTAATTCTCATTTGCAGCTCATGGCGTTCTGGACAGCATCGTTGAGAACTACAACAGCAGGATCTTCCAAGGTCCTCCAGGGCCACCGGGGCCTCCAGGCCCCGCCTGGTTTGGTTCCCATGGAAACGCCACAAATATTATGGAAATTATTGAAGGTAGGAAAACTACAGAAAACAAAGACATCAAACTGTAATAAATTGGATGATAGACCTGCTAACACCCTCCTGTTTACAGCCGTTAGGCAGCAGAGCCACCATGGACCTGCCGTCCACGGGCCCCGGGGTCCACCCGGCCCCCCAGGTCCACCAGGAGAGAGCCGACTGTTTGGTTCTCACACCAACGTTGTTGACATAATGGACTACATCAAAGGTAACAAACATATTTAATATTGTCAAATAAATTGGTCATAAATGCCCAACTGTGAATTTTTAATATATTTTTTTTAATTCTTCACAGCACATGGAATGATTGTGGGACCACAAGGGAGACCGGGACCGAAAGGGGACCAAGGACTTCCAGGACTAACGGGAGCAAAAGGTGAGGCACATCCAGGCAAGGAGGGCTTATTTCTGTAGAACCAGTCAGACACACAGCAAATCTAACTGCTTTACGGGACATATCAGGGTTTCTTATCAGATTTAATGAGCCTAGAGACCAAATCCTGCCTCACATTGCTTAGCAACAAATCAAGGCTGCATGTTGAGGATTTTAGGTTATTAAGAGTTTCTGTCAAAAACATCCTGTGTGCTTGCAGGTGAACGAGGTTATCCTGGGCCTCAGGGATACAAAGGACCAAAGGGTGACAGAGGTCAGTTTAAAAAAAACAGAATGAGATGTTTTACCTGCAACTTAACATGATGTTACTCCAGTGTTTAAAACACAATGGTCGCAACAAATAAAAACACATGAAGAGAGTAAAGATTTTCTCACTTAGAGCAGGTCGTTGAACAGAGGGAGCAAACGGAAGAATCCAGTAAAGACAATTAAAACCAGGAGCCTAAATACTGGGAAGCAGAGCAGCTAATCAGAGGAGATGTGAAGCAGCTGTGACAGGAAGCAAGCAGGGAAACTGAGAAGGAGACTAATTAAGACAGAGTGTCTTAATGCTCAATTTGTTTTTTATTTAAATACGTTTTTCTTTGAGTCGTCTTTCATCCTACCACATACATGTGACCTCAATCAAACTTCTGCACTTCCAGACACAAATGAGGGGCTTAGGAGAATATGTTCTGATTTTCCAAGGGAAGTAGACCTGACAATCATCTGCATAAACTTAAGATGTATTTTTAAAAAAAATGACAGCAAGTAGAGTGAAAACAAATCACCAGAGGGAGGCGTCTGAGATGCTGTAGTAATGTTTAATTTTTTAACTGAAATTTCTGTTACGTTTCAGGAGATTTATTGCTGACAAGAAGAAGGAGAAGCTCTGGTGTTTGATCGCTGAACTCGGAGCTCCAAGAGGGATCATGAAAGCTGTTATCAGCGACTGAACTTTGTGTAAAGTATTGAATTTTATGGTATGACATTTGTATTCATTATGGGCATTTTTAAAGGATGTTTTTAAAATGTTTTCTTTTATTTTTGTATGTATGAGACCAAAGGAGAAGCTTTTGTTTAGAGGAAATATTTTATTTACAGCAGAATGAAAATCAACATTATACAAGCATTTCTAAAAACTATACATGTATTTAAAAAATGAATTAATGAGTCGATATGTTTTTGTTTTCAGTCTGAATTTAGGAAGCTGAGCAGTTTTCGTATAAATAGTAATTGAAAATATTTTTCTAAAAAAAGGTGCACAGCACTCCTTCATTATATTTATTTAACAACTCAGAACAGCCAATCAAGAAAAACAATAACGAGTTGAACCAATCAGAGGTCAGAAAGGCCTAAACCAGTCAGGTCCAGTTTTTTTTAAATTAATAAAAGTAAATGAAAAGAAATTAATTTTTGTGTTTAGTTTAGTTTTCTTGAATACAGAATAAAAACCTCCACAACACATCTGAATCCTTAAAGTCGCAGTAACAACTTTACAATACATCTAAATGATTAAGGCTAACAGATCTACTTTGGGCTTTTTAAGAAACAAAATACATCATCAGAAGATAAAAATACACAAACGTTTCTTCATTTTCCAGATTTTTCTTTCTTTGCTGTTGGAGCTGATAAGTTGATGCTTCCTTAGAGAATAAAAACCATGAGTGTCTTTGAAATATTTTACAACAAACCTGAAGGCATTCAGAAGGAAAAAACTGCATCCATGTCAGCCAGGAGATGAGCATCAGAGCCTCAACAGAACCACAAAATCTAAACTATCTGGATGAAAATCTGCTGTAACCCGTTCCTTCAATAGGAGTGTTTTAGCCACAAATACATTCTGTATCATAATCACTTAGAATTGACTGACTGATTCATGTTTGACCATAAAAAAACAGAGAGCGATCCGTAGTGTAAACGTCTGCAGGGATCTGAAGGTGGAGATATTTCCGGTTCATCAGGCACTGGGTTGTGGCGACTGAAGGGGCGCCGCAGCAGCTCCTCAGACTTCCTGTCCTTTGTCGGCCCGTTTGGGTTAGAACCCGGTGGAGTGGACGGTGGGGATCGGGTAGAACTTGGAGATGCGGCTCTGGGTGGTCGGGTTAAGGCACTCTGACTCCCCGCTCATCTTGAAGAACACTTCCTGTTCCTGCAGCTTCCTGGCGAACTCCTCCTCCAACGCCTGCAAACAAACATCAGTTACCATGGAAACAAACAAGGTCATAGAAAGTGTTTTTTCAGACTGTATGGAGCAGAGAGTAGAACTGTAATGCTACTAACTAAGAGTTATCAAGCTAACTGTGCAGTTAGCATGCTACCTGCAGCCTCTAACCAAACAGATCGTTTAAAAACTATCAAGTTCAGAGTTTTCTTTCTATATTTTTGTCCTTTTTTCACCAATTTCACTTTAAAAGTTAAAAATTATAATTCAGGTACTTCTGTTGCGGCTTTTGGAACGCAGGAGATAGAAAACAGTTTCTATACAAAACCTCTAAACTAGTTGTAGGCTATGTTTACCACCAATGCTTGTTGAGATATATTCTACACATACTGAGGATCATATTAAAGCCCTTTGGCACCATCTAGTGGTCAGCGTTTTCGATGCATGCCTAATTCAATTCATTATTTTGTTGCTAAAATGTAGAGCTGAAACGATTAATGGAATTAATCATGATTAATTTATTACCGAAATAATAATTAAAGTAGTAATAAATTAATTGTGAATTGGAATACACACTAATAAAAAGCCATTTTCTCAAAGAACAAATTCAGAGCAGCAATTAAGCCGAAAGTGTACAAAAATATATATGTTATGCATTTATCAAGATACATCTATTTATCACCTTTTGCTATGAAATTCTTAACGGTTTTATCCAAAAATTAATCAAAAGGTCATCCCTGCACTGTGCTGATGTTGCGTCGAGCAGAAGGAGCTGAGCTTTTCACATGTTGATGTTATCGTTAGTCGCAGCCCTACTAAATGTAATGTAGTCTGAAATCCACTTGACATGAGAAGAGAGCATGTGATTTGATCTAAATAAATAAAGTGCAGGCGGTCTACCTTCTTCCTGGGCCGGAGCTTCTCCCTCCACTCCTTCAGCTCCACGCTGTGGTCCTCGTCCAGCTCCTTCAGCTTCTGGGTCTCATGTTCGATGAGCAGGTGACACTTCTCATTCTGAAACACAAACATCTCTTCAGCTCTTTCTGCTATGAAAACCCAACTTTAACACGGCTAAAGCAGTTTTCGCATTGAGGACCTGCAGCTGCTGCAGCTCCCGGATGTTGGCGTCGCATTGCAGCTGCAGGTCTCTCATCTGGTTGTCGTGTTTCTGCTGCTGGTGTAGACGCTCGTTCTTCTGCCTCTTCTCCTCCTGAGCTGCAAACTGGGAACAGAGACAGCAATGAGGCCGGCTGGATTCATTCACAGCTTCTCTCTGACCTGAGGCTCCATCCCACCTGCTTGACCTTGTCCCTCTCCTGCTCGGGGGTGATGAGTGCTGCGGTGATGCGGAGGCTCTTCTTGAACATAGCCATGCGCGTCTTGGCTTCGCTGCGTTGGATTTTGGGCAGCCGGGCTCGCTCCTGCGTCTGTTTGCTCTTCAGCTCCTCGATGAGGCGCTGGTTGTAGCGCTGCATCTGCTCCATCTCCTGCAGGCACAAACCAGCTGCTGGGAAAATTCTCAGAACCACAAGACGGGTTTTACTTTGATATTTGGGAGCAGAACAAAGTGTTGCTTCTAATTTCTGAATCATTTCCCTCTGCATGGTGATGAACTAACTGACTGAGGAAGCCACAGACTCCAGCTGATGTCCAGCAGCTCCAGCCATGTTCCTGTACCTTCTCATGTCTCTTCAGCAGCTGGTGTCTCTGCATGAAGTACTGGTCTTTCAGCTGCTGTTTGAACAGCTGGTGTTTCTCCTGCAGGTGGCGCTCTTCCATCTCCCACATTGCAGCCTCTCGTGCTGCATGCAGAAACAAGAGAAGACGACAAACATGAGGCGGACTTCTATTAAGTTGTTTAAATAAGAAACGTTTGCAGCCGTCTTAAGCTTATTTTATAAAGATCTCAGTTTATGACCTTTGAACCCTGTCACTTTCATTTCCAGTTAAAGCTGTTCAGGATGACCGGGCCAAACCCACATTTCTGAGCAGTGACTCATTTATGCTGCGTTCCAGTAACCGGGGAAATGTGAAGTCTGAGCTGGAAAACGTCTTAACGTTCTGGTTAAGAAGTTAGAATTTCAACATGGCGACGCCCATAAACATCATTTTACAATTTACTTTCCATTAACGAACACCACTTTTAACGTGTTCAGTTTAGAGTAGTAGGCATTGATTTAATCAGACTCTTGCATCTCTGTCTTATGTTTCCACCACAAGGATGATGCGAGGAGCGGCCATTTTGAAAAGTGAAGTCGTCCTTATAATTCATACCGGGGGTGTTCGGAGTCGCTCCCAGTTTCCCAGTGGGGAAACGATCACACTGGGCATTCCAGTTGATTTTTCTGACTGGGAAGTTGGAATTTTCCAGTTCAGAGTCCCAAGTAAAACTGGAACGCAGCATCAGAGCTGGACAAGGACTGGGTGACTCAACATGATGACCAGCTGCAGATGAACCAAAAGCAGCTGATTTCATCAAGAATATGTGGCTCTCAGAGTCACTTTCTACTAATTACAGTCAACTTTATACACAAAACTTTAGAAACAGTTTTATTTTATTTAATTAGCTGATTCACACAATCACAAATTCCTGAACTATTGCAGCTGTTACCTGGAAGCCATGGTTAATATTTAACAGAGTCGACCTCCAGGTTATGAGTATTTGCTGCTGAGTGTGAAGTGGCCTAAAAACGGAAGACTGCCCCCTATTGGTTGGGGTCTGTGTCTTTGTGAAAGTCCTTTGATGGTGAATAAAAACCATGTAAAACTGCAGGTTTAAATTTCTACGAAGTAAAAGCATTTCTTCTTTGACTGTTGATACTGTGTTGCTCATCTGAAGCACTTAGCAAACTTGGTGATTCTGGATCATCAAAGTTTATGAAAGTTACAAACAAAACATCAAAGCTAACTTTGATGTTTTGTTTGTAGCTTTGGGATCTATTTCACAAAGCGTGAAGGAAGGTGAAACAGTTCCTGATTAAACCTCAAAGTCAATCTGGGGTGAATTTAAGTTATGGGATGCTCTCTTCCCCCTTTTTCAAAGAAAAGACATAAACATTTTTAACGAGGACACCTAAATAATGTGTTACAATTTACTTGATAAAGGTAGCAGTTTTTAATTAAATCTAAAATACTAAGTAATTAGAAGATTTTCCTATTTATTTTCTATGAATTCATCGTTAACATCAGTTCTCAGCTAGCTGTGCCATCTGGTGGTGACATATTTAACATTTGGGCTCCTGGTCTTTTCCGTTACAGCGGTGTTAAAGCTGAACCAGGGTTCACCTCTGAGCAGCTGCTGCTTGTGGTTCAGGCAGTCTCTCTCTATGGTGGCCAGCTCGTGCTTGTGTTGCTGGATTATTTTCTTCAGCGCGCTGTCCAGATCCTGCTGCTGCTTCTGGAGGAACTCCTGTTCCTGGATTCAGAAGAACACACATGGTTTTTGAATAAAAGTGATATTGAGGTCATTTCTGCACCAACATCAACGAGCAGGGCAGGCCCTCTGAGGTCAGATAAACGTGTCGCTTCCAGGCTCACAGCCAAGCTGTCAGCCTAAGAACAGCTTGAGCTGCTAAACCTGCTGTTAATGAGCGCTTCACCTGTCGGCCATGTTATTCTGGGCTCAGCTAACTCTGAAGGAGTCTGACCTTAACACAGTCAAATGGCACAGAAACTGAAAAACAACCAGAGATGAAAAACAGCTGATATGATGCATGTCAATCAGCTCTGACATCACAGAAACTCTGCACCAATGGGAGTCTGGATTATGATAACTTTCATCTTCATCGTCCCTGAAGGCGACAAGCGAGAGGGAAACTCAATAATCTGATCCACAACACTCTTCAAGGTAGATTTTTTAAATTTTCTTTTATTTTAAATGCTTTTTTTGGTAAAGCACCTCGAGACGACATTTGTTGTGAATTGTAGCTATAGAATTAACATGAGAGGCCAAAGACAAACTGCTTCTAACATGTGGCCAGATGTTGCTTCTGCTGTTAATTATAATGAAGGGTTGAGACAAAATCATTTGAACATTGTTTTCATTTTTGTCTTAAATAGGTATTCCAGAGTAACCTTTACTGGTAAAAACAGGCCAAACGTTTCCTCTGACATGCTGAATGGCCGCGCTGCTTCATGAGGACGATTCAAACCACTCAATCCTGACATCAGCCACTCCCTGTGGATCACAGTCCACTGTCCTCCCACTCACACTCAGACACTGAGCGCTCCGGCTGGTGGAAGTGGTTTTAAAGTGCTATTGGTTTCATTAAACAGCTTCAATCATCAGAACAACAATGGCTCTATGATTTAATATAATAAACATTTTTCAGTGTCAGAGAGGGTTGGAACAGAAAATCCACTTTACGACATTTCATTGTGTCACAAGCTGTGGAGAAAGTCCTGTTTGCTGTGAGGCAGGGTGAACAACAGAGGGAGCTAAAATGAGGCAGACAGTATAAGATTTAACCTGGCCTGGTGGGACAGAAGCTGCAGAAACTCTGGAGGACAGATGAGGGCGCAGTTTGTCTCAGCGGAAACATTTTGGACTCTTGAGGGACAGAATGTGACGGTAGGAGGTGAAAGTGGTGGACGGCTGGGACTCACCTCTTTCTTGCAGTTCTTCAGCATGTTCTGGCACTTGGACAGCTCCTTGTCCTGCTCAGCTTTGATGCGCTTGGCCTCGTCTCGCAGCCGGTTGGTGTGCTCCTGCTCCAGCCTCTCGATGGTCTGCTTCTGCTGCCGCTCCAGGTTCTCCACCTCCTGGTCGTACTGACGCTTCTTACTCTGTCCAACACAAACCGCCTCATCACTCAACCGTCTCCATACATCACTGAGACTTTCTGTGACACTGAAGCTCAGAGGGGTTGGAGGAAACATTGTGATGATAGAAGTCAGGAGAGGAGTGAGAAAAACTAATATTGCAACAGAAAAGCAAAGCTACTCAGTTCTGAGCTCTGAATTTCCCAATGTTCACATGTGATGTTCTAACTTTATTATTAGATTTTTTCAAAGAAAAACTGTTAGAAAAGCAGTTGTTTTAAACAGTCAGGAGACTTGATCCAGTGATGCTCCTTTGAGCAGCAGCTTTCACAGAATGTGACTGAGCTGCAGTTTGCTGGGAGGCAGTGAAGTTCAGCAGCTTTTAGCTGAGCTGATCAGGGTGATAACAGAACGGTTTGTAGCTACGGTGACCAGGTTCAGGAAGTTCACAGTGTCATGTGAGCAGGGGAAACGGCTCCCTGTGCTTATCTCTAAACAGAAACTACAGCTGCTGCTGGAGCGGATCCGTTTGAAAACAAGGCTGAAATGTTGTGAAGCTGGAGGAAAGCAGACTCACAGTGGTCTCCTGCTCAAAGCGTCTGTAGATCTGCTCCTTCTGCTGCTGCAGCTTGTTGCTGAGCTGCTGCTGGGCTCTCTGCTCCTCCTTCTGCAGGAGACGCAGCTCCCTCAGCTCCTGCCGCCTGCAAGAGGAGAAACAGTACAGTCATAAAAAATTCCCAGTTTAACTCATTTTCATATTATTTGCATAATAAGTGTTTGGTTTGAATGAAGTGACATGAGCACCTGAGGAATCTCATCTCCTCGTTCTTGGTGTCGTTGTCAGTGACGATCTTTGATGTTGTGACGCTCACTTCCACCCCATCCACCATGAACTTACGAGTTTTCTTCAGCGTCTTCTTCTGCCGTTTGGAGTCCTGAGGAAACAGCAAGAAGGTTAAAAAGGAAAAGGTCTTGCTGTGGATTTATGTGTGTTTCTGAGGCTTACCTGTATAGAAACAGAACCAGGCTCCTTTGTTTTGGACAGGAAGCTGGAAATGGACAGATTGAGGTCTACTGAGCTGTTGTCTGCAGCCGAGCCCCTTCCTGAGTCAGAATCTCGCTCTTTTTCGTCTTTGGCTTTGTCCGGAACCTTCTTCTCCTCTTCAGCATTCATTCTGTCTTTTTCTACCGGCTGCTCTCCGTTTTCCTTCTTCAGGACTTCCTGCTCTGGCTCAGGTAGAGTTAGAGTCACCTTGAGATGTTTGTATCGGTCCTCCTCCTCTTCCTGAGCTGGAGTGTTTCCTTCTGGTGCAGCAGGTGAGTCAGGAGGCCCAGGAACCTCGGCCGTGTCCACTTCCTTTTCATCCTCCACGTCTATCTCCAGCTGCTGCAGCTCCTTGGACGGTGTGTCTGGTTCGGCCTCTGACCCCGGTGAAGTGGCATCAGACACGGCCTCTGGAACGTTCTCCTCTGACGGTTTCTCTTTAGGTTCTTCTGGAACTGGAGTGTTTGGAGCTTCCTGTGGTTGCTCCTGTGCAGCAGGCGCAGCAGGTTCTTCTGTGGAGACGGTTTCCGCCACATGGTTGGAGTCGGGAAGCTTGGCCGGGGAAGGAACTGGTAGGATCGGTTCCATCTTCTCAGGGACTGATTCCAAGGGCGACAGAGGGATCTTTTCGTCCTCGGAGCTGGCGACGCTGACGTCAGACGGAGCCCGTTTGTGGCCCTGGAGGAACCATGCAGAAGTTAGAACTGTCATATAAATGCAGAGTCAGCAGAAAGCAAATCGTATGAAGTAACAGCTTCAGGACTCAAAAGAACATCCCAAGCACAACTAAACAACTGCAGCTCCTGCTGTCTTCCACGTTTAACCTCCTCTGCAGGCTTTCTGCAGGTTTCACCAACTCCCCCATTATGAATGGGATTTAAGACTTGCACCTACACAGAAATGTGCAAACTTCGTCCAGCCAACTGGCGAAAAACGAACACTTACACATGACAGAAGCAAAAAGAGGAAGCTATCAAGGCTGTTAGCAGCGAGTTAGCAGTAGCATCAGCCGTCTCGAGTCAGTGAAGACGTCCGAGTGCGACTCAAGCATTTGCCTGACCGAAACGATTCGTGAGAAAACAAAATGAAAATAATGAGGTTAAATAGTGACAAAATTTAAGGCATTGATGTCAGCTTAGTTTTTTACACTAAATTTTAACCATTTTAAAGGCCTTCATTTTAGACATTTGAGGACTTTAAGAATGAGCAGGTACCATGCTGTCAGATGTTACCGTCTTTAACTTATGCTGGAAGATTTATGGGTGAGTCAGATAAATGTGATATAGATGTAGAAATGGATATCAGGCTGTTGCTGTTTCTGGTGTAGAAAGTTAAAACAGATGTGGTCTGCATAGAAACTGGTTTTTCTAATATCTGTGCTGGTGTGGACGGATCTCCAATGTCTGCAATTTATTATTTTGACCAATTTTCTTCTAGATTCAGTTTCTTGTTTTCAAATTGCTGAATCCTCATTGTACCATTTCACTCACAAAGAGCAGGTTTATGATTTTAATGTGATGCCAGCTTGGTGCTGTGTTCCAGTCATTCTGGGTTTCATGTGGCCTTGAGGAGCTGCAGTCATCATGATAAACAATGGAGAGATCAACGCTCAAAGTGACCCAACAGGAAGGATGTTTATGCAGAAACAGAACTAGAGTAATTAGTGTTTGCAGTGGCAGCATTCCCACGTCCTGCACCTTCTTGGCTTTTGAGGATGAAAACATTAACTAGGATCTTTAATTTTCCATCAAGCAGAAATGCCTAGCCCATAAAAGCATGATCTGAATAACAATCCTCTTTCTGTTAACTTCATGTTCAGAACTCAACAAACACTGATCTTGAGTCTTTTTGAATTCCTGTAGGACTTTAGTTTCTGTTTCAAACAGAAGGCATACCTCTAGAATGTGCAGCAAGCTCACAAATGTTTATATTATAACCAATCCTGGTTTTGTTTTGATCATAAAGAGAAGATATTTGGACAGCTGTTGGTACTTTGAGACATAAACGGTTTGATCTTCCTGCCTCCATACTGAATATGAGACTTTAGCCGTTTCTATTACAGTCAAAAATAACAGATCTTACAGTCACAATAGATATTTAGCATTTTCTTTTTAATACAGTTAAAATACTCTTGAGTTATGAGTGAAAAGTATCAAATATTAACAACCACTCTTTTTTTCATGTCATAAATATCCAGTAAAATAGACTTTGATGTAAATATCTACTCACCAGATGTGCCTCGGTCTCTTCCTCCTCCTCTTCCTCTTTGTGCTCTTCGATCTCCTCGGTGACCTCAGCCTTCGCCTCGGCTATCAGCTCCCTCAGCGGCCGGCTGTCAGTCACAGTCGAGACGAACGAATGCTGCACACAAGACAAGACCGAAGGCTTGTTGGTAGATAAAAACCAATGTCATTCCAGGCGTTGTTCATAAGAAGAGAAATGGAAACCAAACTCAAAGACTCAGCCAATGATCAGCTGCTGGGTGTCAGCTACCTGTAAACAGTCAAACAATTAGAAGAATGTGAAGATAATCAAGACGCCCAACAAAAAACCCATGATAGAAAAATAATATGATGAGAAGAGACTACAGTATGATTTGCTTAAGAACACGTTCAAAACGCAAAATGGAGCAACAATGTTGTTTGTCAGACGACCCCAAACACTAAATTCAAGCCAGAGTAACGCTGAAGTGAAGTGGGTTGACATCTGGGTCTGTGCTGATAAATCATCCCAGATTTCCTTACTTTTAAGATTTCGGTCGATACTTACAAGTGAAACTGATCTTATTTTCTTATTTACCTCGGCAAAGGTCTGAAAATCAGCCGCTGTCCTCTTTTGCTCCGTTAGAGATGGCTGTTGACTGATAAGTCTGCACATGAGCAGTTATACAATAGGCACCCCACTGTTGCTAACTTCATCGCTATATTTAGCAACTTTTCTGACAAAAAAATAAAAAATAAAAATCTGTACTGGCAGGTGAAGTTTTTCAGCCAGAAACTGCAATTGTTGCTCCTCCAGTAACATTAAAACTGATGTTTTTGTCCTGAGCTTGAAACCCTGTTCAGAGGCAGCAGAAGCTGGTCGACTCCATGCAGTGCAGATTTGAAGCCGTTTTTAGAAACAACCAAATCTTAGTGCAGTGATTCACTAGAAGGTCAAATCATCAAGCAGTAAATATTTCAGTCTGAGCGTCTGCAAAGAGAAATGCAGAAGCTGCTATTACTAATCTTTTTTCTTTACTTTCCGCAAATTAATAACAAATCTGATCATTTCTGTTTCAACCTTCTGATTTGTGTGCATGGAAAGAAAAACTACTATTCTATTTTCAGCTTCATTTACTTTCAAGTTGAAAGCTGTTCAGAGAGATAAGAAGCAGAGACGTGACTCCGCTGATAACTGATCCCAGTTAGAGACAAACTGCACAAAGTTTAAGACTCTGTGATAACACATTAAACACATTATGCAAGACCAGCGGAGTGTTCAACACTAACCATCGTCTGCCTACACTTAACAGTAAAAGCACTTCAATCCATCAGCAAAATGCAAGATTTAAACACGGTCTCACCTTCTTCGGTTTAGAAATCTGCTGCATGTATTCTATGGCAGGCCTGATGATGTGAAGCTTCTTAGATATCAGAACCTTCATCGGCGGCAGGCCGCTGTTTTGTATTTTTAAACCCATTGCGTTGTCTGTGCAGTGCTGTGGTTTTCCCAATGTGCATGAGGTAAAATGCGTCCGGCGGGCCTGCCTGTCTGCACACTGAGTGAATGAGCGGCTCTGGTTTAGCACCTTAAACCCCACGGAAAAAGCAAAGCCTGCTCTGCTGACGTCAGCTCCAGCAGAGGGATGAGTGTCAGTCCTACTGGGACAGACGGCTCAGAGCGTACAGAGCGGCTCAACAGATGTCGCACCGGGTTCTGATGGCAGGTGGTGCATGGGTGGAGGTGGGGGAGGAAGTGGCTTAGAAGTGGCCAGGTGTTGGGGATAATCACACATTGAGACATTTAGCTTTGGACAGACGGTACCTGAAGAAGCTGCGCTGCGGTCCATCTGCTGTCTAGGTTCTTGTCCAGGCAACGTTTCAGGAAGTCGCTGAACTCTGGAGACCTGAGCAGAGAAAACCAAACATTTAGTCAGCTGTTCACTCAGCTGTCAAACAGAAACATGGCAACTCACCAGCGCGACGGCTGCATCAGTGTGGGCGGGTCGGACTTTGCGATCTTCAGCAGGACTCTCATGGGGTTCATCTCGTGGTTCGGGGGCTCGACCTGCGCCAGCTCGATTAAGGTGACCCCCAGGGACCAGATGTCGGCCTTGTAGTCGTATGGACGGTCCTTGGAGGTCTCACACATCACCACCTCAGGGGCCATCCTGAAAACATTCATCCAACCTTCAACTTTCACGTTTTATCAAAATGTTTCAACAAATAAAAACCTGAAATGTGTGCTGGGCTTTTTTCTTTACTTACATGAGGATAATTAATTTATCCTCATGTATAAATGAAGGTATTTGCAAGAGAAACAACTATAGTGAATAATTCTTCTTAGTCCTAATGTGCTATATTGATTATTTTGGTTTTCCATATGAAGTGAATGAGTGTTTTTCATTATAGTATAATTAATTAGTTTTGATCTATGGCCTCTTTTTTGTAATTGTTTATTTTTGTAGTTACTTTTATTTTTAATTTTCTATGTGATCTATGTATGCTACGTATTATTAGTTGTTTATGTTGAATGTCTTTCTTCCTTTTATTTGGATCTCCATTAGTCGTAGTTCTCTGCTTCTACTCCCACTACTCTAACCTGGTGGATTCACTGAGGGTGTCATGGTAGTAATGCTCTTACATGTATGTTGCGCCCCTGCAGGTTTTTGGGGGCATGCTGAAGGAGTATGGGGTATCTGGGTGGCTTTTAATAGAGTAGAGTAGAATATTTATTGTCACTCTAACAATGAAACATTGTACAACAAAATTTAGGTGCAAATCTCCAGATAAAAACAATGACTCACCTAAAACAAAGATTATAAATAATTACTTTCATTGCATTTATCCCTTGATAAAAAGCTAACTGAAAAATGACCACTGACCAAATTGACCACTTAGCAGCATTCAGCATGGTGATGGCTGATGGATAAAAACTGGTTCTAATCATTCCTTGTAGAGCTGCTTCTGCCTTCTTGGCACCAAGTCAAGTCTGTTTCCAGTTGGACTCGGTCAGGGCTGTCCCCTGTCCACCAGTCCTGTTTCTGGTGTTCATGGATGTGATGGAGGTGGTGGAGAGGAGGGACTGTGTGTTATGTCACACAGACCCTCATCCCAGCGATCAGGCCATGATCCGCTGGGATGAGGGCAGGCTCCTCTAAAGCCTCTCCAGTTCTTTAACTGGTTCTTCTCCAGTCTGTCCTGCTCAGATTCGTCTCCTTTAGCAGATCATTCATGTTCTTCCCATGTATGGTGCGCAAGCAATTTCATTGGTAGCAGAATGCCTGCATTGATTGGCCTGCGATTTACGTCACTGCATGAGTGCAAATCTCCAAACAACATCTCAACCACTGCGATGTACCAGTGGACAAGTCGCCTGCTATCAGAGAGCAGCGACAGGAAAACACGCGTCAATGTTTGGAGCAGAATAACTGCAAACGGCAGAAGAACTTGTCTTGGAAGAACTGGAAACCAATGAAGAAATGAGAAACTGTCCAGCTGTGGTCAACGTTCTGTTTGAGACAATTGTTGTTTTGTCCTAACCGGTGTGAAACGCTGTTAGCTGCTCAAAGTTGACAGGAAGATGAAGTTAAATACACAACAGACATAGCAGAAAACCTGCTGGTGGCTGCATATAATTTGTAGCTATAATTGGACAAAGGATCGAGTCAAGCAGGCACAGAAAACTTCTCACATTTATACTGCAATACAAAAATAAATAAAAAATCCCTAAAACTCTGTATAATTTTTTTTCTTCCTCACAATTATGCACAACTTTCAATCACATAGAAGCCTAATGAAATACTTTGAAGTTGATGAAAAAGCTCATAAATGCTTTTGTGCAGCTCAATATTTTCTGGGAAGTTTACTTTTTATAAAATGTTGCATTAAAATAGAGGAATTATTCCTCCACTTACCAGTAAGGCGTTCCAATGAAAGAATCTCTCCGCTGAAGCGTCTTTGTGTTTTTGGCCGATACGCCAAAATCAGCTGAAAGCCACAAAACACAGAAATGAGTCAGAATAACTGAATCAGGAGACTTTGGGTCATGTGAAACCAACAGTCTGATTTTCCTGCAGGCAGATACTCGGACACCTCTGTGTGTGTTATGTCACTGGACACAATGTCTGCTGTGTATTTCACCATGACTCATGCCACTCCGAATAAACCTGCACTACTACAGCTTCTGTGGTGAGCAGCACCAAACGGTGGATGCTGAACAGGAAAGCCACAAACCAATAAGAGACTGAGGCGTCACACTTCATTTCAAAGCTCTTATTATTAAATAGTATGAATCTTTAGGTTTCTCTGTGGTTGATTCTGTATTTATTTGGCAAGAGTCTGTCAGTATTTCTTATCTTGGTAATATTTGCTCAGTCTGCTTTGCTAAAGTAGATTTTCTGGATTCTGACTGAGCCATGAAAAAGTTGATTCTTTAAACGCAGAATATTAGGTTTTATCATCTATTATTACTGACAGAAAGTTTTCAGTTTGTACAAACGAGCACGAAGCTGGACAGGCCAACATTTTTCTTCTATTTAATCCAGATGCTTGAAATGAATCACCAGAAAGGCGTCACATGAACATAATATGGGTCTAAATTACCAAGGCTAAAATAATGGGAGTTAAAAACTACTGAAGTGGCAGAACTGTGTTTATGACCTAACACTTTGTTTTAAAAATGAAATAATTAAGTAATCATTTGAGGAAAACATCACAACAGTATTCCAGGTATCTAAAATGTTGAATTATTGGTAAATATTTGCAGTATCTGCTGGCAGAGGTTAAATTCATGTGAAGAACAGAGCCTTTGTTTAGAACACGGGACGCCATGGCGCCGTCACCAGCTGGTTCTTACCCAGCTTCACGTCTCCGTCCAGAGTGAGGAGGATGTTGCCGGCCTTCAAGTCTCTGTGGATGATTTTGTTTTCGTGGAGGTAGACGAGCGCCTGCAAGGTCTGCTTACACACCACCCGGATCTGCGGCTCGGTCAGGGGTCTCTCCAGTTCTGCGCAGAAGAGGTACAGTTGCCATGAGCATGTGCTTTAAATCAGCTCAGCATGGCACGCTAATGTAGCCTAATTGTAGGTGGTGATACGGCTTAAACCACAATTAAAGTCTTGCAGAAAGCAAGAAAGAAAGCGACCATGTGGGTGGTCCGCTGAGGCCTTTTTTCACTTTCGCTGCTGGTTCAAGCCATTTCCCTGTTGGTGAAACAACCTGTGATAAAAAGTGGAACTGCTGACTCACCGAGCATGACGGCATCCACTGCCCCTCCTGCACAGAACTCTATGAGGATCTGCCAACGACAGGAGAAAACACAGGACCAGCGTTAGCTTCCTAACATCTGCTTTACTTCAAATAAAACACACATGAAGCTCATAGAAGATTTGACCTCTCACCTACTTTAACGGCTTTTTTTAACCAGACTATTAAGTCTCCCCAAAATAACCTTTAATTGTCCACAGGTGACCTCTCCAGTTTTTTCAGAATGGTTGTTGAAGTAGTTTCTTACATGTGAAGGATTTTATTTTCCAAATTTGTAAGTTTGTCAGAAGGAAAATAAAAAATTATTTCAATTCAAACCAAAAGTACTCTATTCATCCTAAAGGG